TCGGTCGAGTGATCGACTGTCCCTGCTTCCAGTACCAGGCACCCTGGCCGTCGAGAATACCGGAACCCTTGACCGCGAGGTTGTTGCCTCCAAGCAGAACGAGGGGTCCTTCCCACTTGGCCGGTCCGAACGTCGTAGTGCCGGTGAACGTGATGGTAGCGCCGCTCTTGGCCTTACTTAAGTCCAGCGTGACACCGGCAGGCACAGTGAGCGAGCCGATAGTCACGGAGCTGCAAGATGAGATGTCGGTGCCCTTCTTGTAGGTGGCGGTAAGGTTACAACCACTGCTGCTGCTGGTGCTGCTCTGCTGTTGTTGCTGCACTTGCTGCTGATCAGACTTGCTCTTGCCTTCGGTTTCCATGCGGAGCATGGGCGAGCCATTGACGGTGGCAGCGAGCAGAGCGAAGGCAGCGAATGCAGTGGAGAGAAGCTTCATCGTTGAGGCGTGGAGTACAGCTCGGTTGGTTGTGTTGGGGGTGCTTTGCCAAAGGCAAATAGGAAAGTGAGGTCTGAGATCGAGATGGATCAAAAGTTGCAACGAGAATCTCGTGGACCCAGGAGGTAATCCATTGAGCCAGGGCCCGTTCACTCGCTGCAATGTTCGAACGGCACCGGGGGGTCCGGCTCAAGCTCCACCAGCCGAATGCCAGGCCAAAAGGCAGTCAGCTTGGGTTGTACTGAATCGGCGCATTTTGTGTCGTATGTGTCAAAACACGACCATCGCCTCAACTTCGAAGCGTAACAAGTGTTTTCGACGAAATTGGCCGCTGTATTACTGCGTTGAAACGAATGAGCTACATGTAAAGCGTAATTAATATCTGGACCCTCTCAGGGCTTCTGCGTCAGGAAGCAGAAAGGTGAAGTCACAAGGCCATCAGCTCCTAAACTTGGAGCTCGTAGGTGCATGCAGTCTAACCTTGAAGAACGTTGGATTAAAACCTTATTTCTCGTAAATCTTGCTGGTCGCCACATTTAATCAAAAGCTCCAGGCACAACATAGCAACAAAAGGGTAGTCGCGCTGTCTTCGTGCTTGCCAGTGCTATATGTAGTGTTCTTGAGATCTGTTAGGTGGGCAGCCTCTCCTTTCATTGAGTCAAAGCATTCAATGCAGAGACCTAGCTTGATGCCTTGTGTCCGTGTTGTTGGTCATCAGCTCTCCTTTTGAGCTACTGCGCTCAGCTGTCAACGAGACGTCATCCAGCCTGGATTCCAGGATACAGTATGTGATGCCAATGATCGCGACGTTGAATCAGAATGTAGGTAAAGAAAGTCAACTACATGTACACAGAAATGCCCCTTTTTGCTTTACTTTCGAGCCCATATGGTATTACATGAAAGCGATCTAGCGAAATGTGCGTGCCCACCCTTTACGAACTCAAACACTGGTGTTATTCTCTTTACGCTTTTAGTAGCCACTGCTTTCGTAGCTGCCGTTCGTTTTAAAAAAACGGACAAACAAAATTAGTAGAGGTAATTAGCAGTCGACGCTGCTGGGTTGGCCACTGCACGTGCCCGTCTTGGACGCGCTCACTGTAATACCAGAGAACGACCAATCCGATACGACCTTCGAGTTTTCCACGATATCGTACAAGTTGGTTGCCGTACCCGATAGACCCGACACGGTTATGTCCTCGATCGTAACCTCACTGGTCGGGGAGCCCGTGTATCCGCCCTTGGACTTGCTGTAGTCAGAGTGAAGTACAATGGCGTTTTTCACATTCGACAGGAGTATTTGACGTTGGAGACGAGGCCCTTTAGACCGATTATGGTCTTGATGCGGATGCCATTCACACTGTTGACGATACTGTTGCCGCTCACTGTCAGACCTGAGACTGTATCGGACGAAGTGACCGTAGAGCCACCGAGCGAGCCGATCGAAATTCCGTGGCCGCCGCTGCAGTAGTTGTTACTGAAGACAGTATTGGTGCTGGACTGCATGGCGAGACAGTCGTCCTGGTTGTAGATCTTGTTGCCCTTGATGGTGACGTAGTCGTTGCCGCTTAAGTCGAATCCGTCCGTGTTCTTGGCCAGATCATCGCCAGCGCTGGCATCGAGTGTGAGGCCGCTTATGGTTGTCTTCTGCGAGCTGAGGATGCTGAAGGTGCGGTACGGCATGTTCTTAAGCGTGAAACCCGACACTGTTGAGGAGAGAACCTTGTTCATACGGGAAGAACACAGGGCGACTGATGGATGTGCCCTGTTTCCAGTACCAAGAGCATTGGCCATCAAGAGTACCGGAGCCTTTGACGGTAAGGCTGCTTCCAGTGAGAGGTACCAATGGGGCCATCCCATTTGGCGGTGCCGAAGGGCGGTGGGCCCGTGAAACTCGATGGTGTATCAGTTCCAACGTGACGCCAGCTGGCATAGAAAGCGATGCGAATGGTGACAGTTGGTGTCAGACCAATTTTCGGTGCCTGAACTTGTAAGCGCCGCGTGAAAAAGAAAGATAATAAGTCACTTCCGCTCCTTACGCAGACTCGTTGGAGCCGTCATAGTAGGGTTGGCTGCGAGTGTCAAAGGCACCGAGAGGGAGTGGAAAACGGGTTTTGGTGGTGGTGAGTGAGTTTTTAGGAGCTCCTGAGGTGGGCCCGACAAGCCACTCTCGCAA